CGCCAGCTTCCCCCGGGGGGGGGGGGGGGGACGGGCCGCCCGCAGATCTGGCAGACCGGCTCCATCTGGCCCTCGCGAAAGGGGCCCTGGGACACACAAATAAATACACACAAATCACAGGATTCCCCATATTTCGTCATATGTTCTGGGCTTTTGTCTTCCCCACCACTTCCCTTGCCGTCGCTCGGACGTCCATGTCCCGCGAGTTGTGTTTGTTTCGTGCGTGTTATTTGGCTCGATGGTCCAGGATGGTCCACGGTGGTTCTCGCCGAGAAAAAATGCACACGTCCGAGCGATGCCAAGTTCCCATATTGTCCCATATTTTCTCGGGAATCGACGATCAATTGTGTCTGTGTGTTTTTGTTGTTGCCTCCTGACCCTCGCGAAGGCCACCCTCCTGAGGCCCCCGAAGCTTGCGTCGGCCCCAGGGTTCTGAGCCGCGTCAGCTCTGCAGGCGGGGGTGAGCTCCCATCTCTGCCGCAGGTCCTCGGCCAAGCCTGGACCACCTGCGAAGCACTCACAATTCGCGAGGTTCACGTCGGGAGCGGCCAAGAGGGGGGTGTCCAAGAGGGGGGGGCGCAAATCATGACCGGCGGCATGTGCGCGGCCCAGCGGGGGGGCCTGGGACGCAATAAAACAAGAAGAGGCGCCACGAAATCTGGGGAAATATCATGGCCCGCGCCATGATATCCCCCCCCCCCTAGTCATCACCCCCCTCTTTTCCGCCCCCGAGGGGAGCTCGAGGTCTTCCAAAACCCAGAGAACATCCGCTGCAGACAGCCCCGCTGCGGCGGGGAGCTGGCACGCAGCGAGAGCGCCCGCGGGCCGACGCGCTGCAGCAGGGCCCCACTGCCGATGGCGATCCTGACTACACCCTGCGAAATGCTTAAGAAATCATGGGTTAAGAAATTCATTGTCTCAGAAATTGGTATAACATCAAAATTTCTATTTAAATCTTAGGATTCGCATTGAAACATTAAGAATCATCCAGACTCTGGCCGAACACTGAAGTTTTCTTAAGCATCGCCTAAGGTGTAGCAGCAGCTGCGCCCAGCCGTGCACTGCCGACCCGAGGGGCCCAAGGAGGAGCTTCGCAAGAGCCGCGGCCGCCGAGCACCCCGCCGCACCAGCCCCCCTTGGGCATGGCTTAATGGGGGGGTCACAAATGGGGGGGTCAGGAAAGGTGTCCTTTCGTGCCCCTTTCGGGCCCCTCCAGAGCCCCAGGGGGCTCGTTTAGGTACCGTTTGGGTACCTTTTCGAACCACCCTCGCCACCCTCCCATTTATGACCCCCCCATCACGCGGCGCCCACCCCCCCGTCGGCTTCGCACCCTCCGGAACACCGCCCCGTCGTAGAAGAGAGGTCCCGCACCCGGATGCACAGTGACCAGGGCCATCAGAAGATCCAGATTGGAACCGAACAGGAGGGCCGCGGCAAGGTCTGAGCGGCGATCGCGTACATACATAACGTTGCGTCAAAATCCAGAGGCACCGCGGTGCTGTTCGCTCCCATCTGACGGCGAAAGGAAGCCGTAATGTTGCGAGTCCAACCGGACTCCTCGCACGTCGCGCCGAGGCCGCAGCCCCAAGCCAAGTCCACGTTGCGCGCGCGCTCCCAGCCTCAACGTGGGTTGCCTCACCTTACTCCACAACTCGCGACTCGAGCACAATTGCCCCATGGACTGGGACCCCCCTCCTGGTACCGGAATGCAAACGACGCTCGCGACCTGCTCACAAACCAAAGACGGCCGATCCTCAAACCCCTGGCTTATAGCAAGGACGCTCGCCCGGCACCCCATGGGCAACTGGAGGACCCACTGCGGGCGGGACATGGTCCACCCGAGCCCAGCTCCTTCCTGCATGGCCACACTGCGACCGGGGGCAAGGCGCCATCGACTACGCCCCACCCCGCCGGATCCGCGCTGACTCATGGGGAAACCTTGGGGGCCACTCATCGAACAGGTTCGCCGCAACCTGAGCATGGGCACGCGTAGCCTCCCCCACTCTCGCGACCATCCCCTCGGCCCAAATCCTCCACTTCCTCGCCGCATCGTCGGCCGCGCTGTCGCGGACGCGCCCAAACAGGCTGCGCAGCTCCAAGCTACGAGGGTCTGTTCACCATCCAAAAGCGCTGGGTGTCACTGGCCAGGCCATGTGCTGGCGGTGCACTGGTGCCTTCGGCGATTCTCTCTTTCGGAAGCCCGTGCTGATGAAGAACCCATGGACACACCCACAGAACCAGCCTCGGCTGATTTGACGAACGGCAAAAGGATAATAATGTGAGATTATGGGCGGTGATTTGGAATCATTGCATGCACATGCTCGCGACGCTGGGCCCTCAGCGAGGCAATCTCGTGACACAAATGGAAATCTCGCGACGCACGTTGGAGCCAAGCTCCCGGCACAATGTGGAGTCAAACGTGCGTGCACCCTTCGTGGCTGTATCCCTGGGGAGAAAACAAGAGCTGGGGGGGAGTGATGGAAACTGGACCGGGGAGTGGAATGGGTGAAGCGGGATACCTGCCGCGCAGCTGCTCAGCAGGGTAGTCGGGGCCGAAATGATCGCCCAGCACTGCCGCCGGCCTATGGGGCAGCGCAATGCGCCACGCTCGCCCGACGAACGTGTCGCACGAGGCGTAGTTGCCGCACCTGGCACATCTAGCGCACCTGGCGCGCCGGGCACTTGGCGCACCTGGTGCACTTGGCGCTCTCGTCGCGCCTGGCGCCCCTGGCACGCGTGGCGCGCTTGCCACGCGGCCGCGCCCGCCCCCGCGCAACCTGAGCAAGGCCTCGGACATGCGGCGCGCCCACTTCAGCGCCCGCGAACTCATGGCCCTCGTCCGCGAGAACGCCTTGCAGCTGCCCCGGGAGGGCCAGAAACTGCAGAACCAACTCCGCCGCCGCAATCCCCCGCGGGTTCGCTTGGCCACCCCCAGGGACAACTTGCGGCGCGCACGGGTGGATGGGGGCGAGGGAGGAGACGGCGGCGGCGGCGCCGGCGACGGAAATGCGGGGAGGGGGGAGGAAGAAACATATGAAAGCAGCAACAGGAGCAAGAGGAGGAATGAGAGGGGGAGGAAAGGGGGCGATCCTGCGCACACGCAGCGACCAATCAATTGTCGTGCCTGCTGGAGGGCGCCGCGGCGTCATCGGCTAAGGTCACAAGCAGTTGCGATAGGGGACCGCCGCCGCAAGCTGATGGAAGACGCCGAGAGAATGCGCGAAATTCCCTGCCACCAGGTCGTACAGGGTGCGTCCCGCATCAAGCGCGGAAGCTGCAAAGAGACGCTTAGGGACATGATGGGACATTGTAAGGGCACTAAGAGACACTAGAAGGAACTAGAAACACAAAAAGACACGACTGCATGTTAAAAAAGGCTTCCAGGATCGAGCACGTGAAGGGCGGATTACCAGAAGGTTCGCACAACTGCAATAAGCACAAGCTGCTCAGGGTATGGAGGCTGGTACCGCTGAAGAGATGGCGGAAAGTGCGGCTGTGCGTCCACATCGCTCCATGCGCAGTCCGTGCACGACGAGATGGGATCGTTCCCAACTCCGCTACCAACTAGACTTGCGGGTGGCGTGGATGAAAGGTAGAAGGCATGGCGGCAATGGCACGACCACAGCGGCGGTCGTTTTCCCTTCAATGTACTATACCGCGTGCGCGCCGCAAGCCTGAACGGCAGCGGGCGCGCACGCGTACTCCTATTCGAGTGCGGGAGGAGGAAACAGGCAAGAGGAGGAGGAGGGAGGAGGACGAGAAGGGCGAGGAGGAAGAGGAGGACAACGACAACGAGGAGGAGGGAGGGATGGAGGGAGGGAGGGAAAGAGGAAGAGCAGAGGCGGGGGAAGAGGAGGACGACAAGGGCCCTCCGAGGAGCCCGCCTTCTCGTCCAGGCACGCCTCGTGAGTGCCCAGCTCGCTCGCGGTCTGCATCTGCCTGCGCAGGCGAGCGGGCGGGGGTGCAGGAGGAGGAGAAGGGGGTGGATGAGGGGAGGAGTGGAGGGGCCCTGGGACACACACAAATAAATAAACACAAATAAAAGGATCCCCCCACTTCCCATAGTTCCCCATATTTTCGAAGGGGAATCGACGAGGAATTGTGTCTGTGTGCGCTTTTCCCTCCTGCTGAAGGAGGAGGGCGAAGGATGCGGAGCTGCCCGTGCAAGGTCGCGCGAGGGCGGCTGCTTTCCCATGTGGTGCGCAGCGCAGGCAGACAGCCCAAGCCATCGCGGACTGCGAGCATCTTATAGCTTCCGCTTATGCAGACGAGCGCGTTCCACTACTCGCAGAGTAACTACTCGCAAATGGCCTGGATCCCCCAAAGGGGATCTACGAGAAATTGCATCGAAGCAGACAGGTGTTTTTCGGACGTTTTGCGAGTAGGCACTGTGCGAGTAGTGGAACGCGCCTGGTGATTATGGTAAGAGGATCACAGGGGGCGCCCGTTGATGCGGTGATGCAAGCCATGCTGATGACAGAAAGGAGGCTCGTGTCACAAATGCTCCAGAGTACGGCCGAACAAGTCCATGGGGAAGAAAGTTATGGGCTCCATCGGCCCCTTCTCCCGCTGGGGGAGGTTAGGTGCGCGCACGCTTGGGCCCGGCGTGATCCCCATCCCCCCCTATACCCCCTTGGAGGAGGAGGAGGAGGAGGAGGAGAAGGAGGAGGAGGAGGAGGAGGAGGATGACACATGGATGAATGAGGAAGAGGAGGGGGGAGGAGGGAGAAAGATCGGACCGAGGAGAAGGAACAGGAGGAGCAGGAGGAGGACCTCGAGGAGGACGAGCAGGAGGAGAAGAGGGAGGAGGAAAAGGAGGAGGAGGAGGAGGAGGAGGAGGAGGAGGGGGAGGAGGAGGAGGTAGAGGATGTCGATGAGGAGGAGGAGGGAGAGAAGAAGAAGAAGAAGAATAAGAAGAAAAAGAAGAAGAAGAAGAAGAAGGAGCAGGAGGTTGAGGAGGAGCACGACACGCCTGAGCTTGTGCCCGATCCACTTATTCGTCAGCGGGTGCAGCTCGGGGTTCTCCTCTGCTCTCCGGTCTTCTCGGGAGCAGGGGGAAGGAGGAATGGAACGGGAAATTTGAAGCTGAGGTGCACGCGGATGATGAGGAGGGGGGCGGAATAGGAGGAGGAAGGGACATGCACTCTTCTCTCCGGAAGGGGGAGGGGGAGGAAGAGGGGAGGGAAGGAGGAGGAGGAGGAGGAGGACGCAGATGATGAACCAGGGGGACGAGACAATGGAGCTTGGAGGCGAGGGAGGAGGACGATGAGGAGGAGGGGGAGGGCGAGGATGAGTACAGGGGGGGGGGTACCAAAACAAGGAGAGGGATAACAAGGAGGAGGAGGAGGAGGAGGAAGGAGGGAAACTGCGCCTTCCTCAGGGCTGTTGTCATCTCGGATCTCTGTCGGATGGCCCCAGGGCCCAGAAACGCCCCCGAATGCGGGAAAACCCTTGTGCGTTGTTTATTTAAGCAGGTCGGTAGTCTGGGAAGGAGCAGGTCTTCGGAAGACCGCGAACGTTTCGGGAGGCCTGCTGAGGCCCGCCAAAAGCAAACACGCTAAACAACGACCAACAAGCTTCCACCCTGGAATCTCGATGTGTGAACGTCGGGAAGGAGGAGGAAGAAGAAAAATGAGAGGAGAAGATGGTGAGCCGGGAGATGAGAGGAGCGAGGGGGAGGAAGATGGAGGAGGAGCTCTCTGGAAGGCCTCGTGAATCGCCAAAAAGCCTCTGGAGGTGTCCAACGGCATCCGTGGCCACTCCATATTTCCCAGTAAAAAACTCACACAGTGGCTGTAAGGGTTATGTACACTGCCGCCTGGGAAGTCACAGTTGCATTGCCACATCGGGAACTGGTCGGGCGACGTCTGTTCCGTTGGGAGGGGAACGCTCAAACCGCCAAGGCCCGTATCGGGACACTGGTCGGGCGAACGTCTGTTCCGTTGGGAGGGGAACGCTCAAACCGCCAAGGCCCGTATCGTGCCTGGTGCCCCTCCTCCTCCACCTCCTCTTCCTCCTCCTCCTCCTCCTCCTCCTCCACCTCCTCCTCCTCCACCTCCTCCTCCTCCTTCTCCTTCTCATTCTCCTTCTCCTTCTCCTTTCTCCGCCTCCGCCTCCGCCTCCTCCTCCTCCTCCTCCTCCCCTCCTCCGCCTCCTCCTCCTCCTCCTCCCTCCTCCTCCTCCTCCTCCCCCCTCCTCCTTCCTCCTCCTCCTCCTTCCTCCTCCTCCTCCTCCTCTCCTCCTCCTCCTCCTCCTCCCCCTCCTCCTCCTCCTCCTCCCCCTCCTCCTCCTCCTCCTCCTCCTCCTCCTCCTCCTCCTTCTCCTATTGAACCCCATATCCTCATTCTCGCCGCCACGGGCGCACGAACAGATCTGTATTCAATTGTTATCGCAGCAAGAGTAGTGCAATGATGAAATAACTCAGGAGCGTAGGAGTTAAGCCTAGTTAAGCATCGGTCTGGATTCGAAGGCCAATGTTCATAAGCAAAAGACAAAGGAGGGGGCACGAGCGAGCAACGGGGCCAAGGAGGGCGAGAGAACGGATCGAGCGGGGAATCCATCGTATCGACGATCTCTTGAGATGGGATGTCGAAGCCGATGAGTCCACGGCTCCCCTTGTTGTGGGTCGTCTGCGATGTCAATGGTCCCGACCCTTGCCCGCGGTCTTGGCAATGCGCTTGCCATCACCAGAAGTACAAGGGTTTAGGCAAGGCTCGATGTCGACCCGCAGGTAGGATGGACAGGAGGACGGATAAATGGATAGCCGCTTCGGGAAATGATCCACAGATCTGTGGCCACAGGGCCTCAAACACCCCCCTGACCTGTCGCACGCCCGACGCTGCCCGCAACACTGCGTCGCGAAGGAGTCGGGATAGGGATAAGCATGCCATGCCGTCCTCGGACGCGCAGTTGCTGGTGATCAGGGGGAGGAGGGGGCAGCGTGCAGACATGGCTAACGTTGCGGCTACCTTTCAGCGGAACCACTGCCAGAGGGGAAGGAGGGATGAACACCTGCACCGGGCGCGCCCGCGGACACTCCTGGAGAAGCCCCTCCGTCTCACGGTAAGACAGATCTTGGTGGAAAGAGATCCATGAAGTTTTGAAAAGGAAACGGACGTTGGAGGAAAGAGGTCCGTGCAATGATTCACAAATTTAGATCGCCTGGGCACCCTTCACTGGCCCCGGGATCGTCAAAGAACGTTTCGGGACGAAGAGCGGGTCTGCCAGAAGGCCCGCGGGGCCTGGGGGACCTGGCTACCTCAGGAAAACCTCTGCTTCATGGCGGACCCAGGGTGCCAGAGCACAGCGGTCTGGGGGGGGGGGGGCGGGTGCTCAAGTTCTGGCCCGAGCTTGGTGGCGGGCCCAGAGGAGGAGGAGGAGAAGGAGGAGGAGGAGGAGGAGGAGGAGGAGGAGAAAGAGAAGGAGAAGGAGGAAGGAGGGGGAGGAGGAGGAGGAGGAGGAGGAGAGACGGAAGAGGAGGAGGAATAATGATAACAAGAAGAAGACGATGAGGAAGAGGAGGAGCAGGAGGATAATGAGGATGAGAAGAAGAAAAAGGAGGAGGAGGAGGAAGGCGGAGAAGGAAGGCGGAGGAGGAGAAGGAGGAGGAGGAGGAGGAGAAGGAGGAGAAGGAGGAGGGCGACGACGACATGAAACGGGCGGGGCAGGACGCCCCTCGCGTTTCCCGCTCTGGTCTCCTCGAGCGCCGCCGGCGTCGGGGGACCTTTCTGTCCCGTCGCGCGCCGGTGGAGCAGCTCGTGGCCCGGCTTCCCACCGCTGCTGCCCGCAGGTGGGAGCTGCGTGGCCCGAGGCCTCCGGGGACTCTCCGAACTCGAAGCCTTCGAGACCTTCGAGCTTCGAGGCATTCGAGCCGCGAGGCCTTCGAGGCCTCCGAGGCTCCCACTGCTGCGCGCGCTGGGCACGACTGCTCCCTGGACTCCTCTGCGGGGTGCGCTCGGTGATACGTCCCATGCGTCGGTGCAGCGGTGGCGGAAAGCCTCGCCAAGGTACGGTCGGACGCAGAATAACGAAGATCGTGAGAGCGAAAATCAGACCGGGCAAGGCCTGCACCACTCTGGTAGCGAAACGAGCAGGCGAGAGCCTCCTGGTGTGCGCGGCGCGCGGCTTTTCATGCTCGCATGCTTGGCAGCAAAGTGCTCCGGGGAGCTGGCAGGGGAGGATGGAAGTGCTGCATCGCAAGCGCTCGGGGGCCGCGTCCTCCCGCAAGAAGACCCTCCACGAGAAGCCCAGACCCTGAAACCGAGGACTTCGGTGGATTCGGGGGAGGATCCTGGGGAGGGGGGAAGGTGGGAGGAGGACGTACGGGAGAAGCGGAGGGGTAAGTGGGGGGAGAGACCCAGTGATTTCCACCTCGCGCCTCGCCGCAACACACCTTGGCTGAGAGGCTTCCGCGGCATGCGCAAGCAAGGACGAGCCCGGCTGGGAGGAGGAGGGAAGCCCTCGCATCCGACGTCGCGTTGTTCGTGGCGTGAGCCCCGGGGAGATCCTGACCCCTTCCATGGAGCCAGCGTTGAAGGGGCCCAGGGACACACAAATAAATAGACAAAAATAGAGCAGGATCCCCAATAGTTTCCTACATGTTTGGGGTTTTGGTTTTCCCCCCCCCCATTTCCCATATTTTCACATATTCTCCTGGGAGTCGACGATTAATCGTGTCTGTGCGCTTCTTTCCCTCCTGAGGCTTCGCATCCTGAGGCACATTGTTCGACGATGCCAGGGCAGGGCAGCGGCCTCTGGAGGCAGACCACGCGTGCAGAAGAACAACTGCCGCGGCGTCTTGTACCGCGGCATCTGGATCAGTGGTGGGGGGGGGCACTTTTTACCTGCGCGGAGGAGCCCTGCGGCAACGAGGGGGTGCGACGACGAGGGGACGACGCGACAGAGAGAGCCGGGAGCGGGGAGGGGGAGGGAGGGGAGGGCGAAGCCGCCCGCCCGCCGGGTGCCCGCTCAGCGCCGAGGCGGGCCCGCAGCACTCCTTCTTGTTTTCAAAAGGGGGAGGGGGCGACACCGCTGGTCTCCGCACGACCCAGCCCAGACCGCCAGGCGAGCCAAGAGATCGCCAGGAAGCCCGGGAGCACTACACGAGCCGAGCTACGAGGGTCGAGCTCGTGCAGCGAGCCGCGGCCTCAGAGAGAACGCCAGCGCGCTGAGTGGTAGCTTCCCCGAGGCCCCAACGGCCAACGGCGAGTCCTTGACAACAAGGTCGATGAACTCGTCCGTCAGGCGAGCGCCCTTGTAGTGCATCCTGCTCGCGTGCTGCTGCCTTGCAGGGGGGCGCGGGGGGGGAAAGGGTGGCCGCCGCCACGCGGACGCCGTCCACACCAGCATGGAGCTAGACGCTGGATAGAAACAGACGTTGCGGCTCCACAGATCGCGGACCCGAAGAAGAGAGAGGAAGCTCTCCGTGGGGGGGGGGGGGGGGGGGCAAGCTCGTCCATGAGCTAGACATTCAAAGGCCCAGAGGACATTCTTGATCGGGAGGACCAAGAACGCCTGGGACGCTTTCCCCAGGCCTGCACAGAATTCTGGTGCACCGCCCAAGGTCACAAGCACAGGCACGAGTCACCCGAGTCCCGGCGGATCGGAGGAGGGAGATTGGACGGAGGAAAAGCCACTGAGAGAATCTGAGCGCAGCTCAGCTTCGAGCAGCACCCGCTGCTCCCGTCTGACCCTTGGGCGCTAGTCTGGATGACTCGTATGGCTGGCTGAGCTGGCTGCTCTAGTAGATCTACTTGGCTCCTTTGACTTGCTGGTCTGGACGGACTGCCTGGTGCAGGTTCTGTGCATCTCAACTTTGCTCCACTGCTACAGTTGTGGCATGGGATGTTGGTTTGGCTTCTCTATTTGGTCTGTTTACTTTGGCGTGAGCTTAACAGGTCTGCGCGGTTGACTGGTCTGCTTGGTCTGGTTGGTCTGCTCTACCGCGCAGCGCAGCACACAGCGCACAGGACGGAGCGGGAGCGTTCATATGGTTAGTCTTATGGTGCTCCCATCGTACTTAAGGACCACATCCCAGAAATAATTTCGAGCACCCGGAACAGTGCCGAAAGAGTGTAGAAATAGTGTCGAAACAATGTCAGACGAGTGCCTCCCAGGGCCCGGCACGTGAAAACCCCCGAGTTTTGGGTACTTTTCTGGCGCTCGAAATTCTCTCTGGTGGTCAAGGCCAAAGTAGGTTGGAACATCATGAGGTCAGTCTGGCTGGTCTGGTTGTAGTCGCAAAGTTGGACTGGACGGTCCGGGCGGCATCCTCCGTCTGGCTCGGGTGGGCCGGCTGATCGAAGTTCGGTCTGGCTGGTCTTGGTTGGTCTGGTCCGGTCTGGCTGGTCTAATCTGATCTGGTCTGGATCGTACACGTCGTTGATTTCTAATCGTGCTCATTTCTAATTGCGCTCGTTTCTAAGTGTTCCTGGCCCCCTGGTGGCCAGGACGAGGCCCAGGATGGAACAATTAGGAATGAAAGGATCTTGGCC